ATTTTAAAACTTTTTTAGATTTGAGACATTTTAAGATTTTGAGATTTAAGAGCAATCTTTGGAAATCTTAAGTCTGGAGGTAAGATTTGGGCTGAGATTTCGTATAAGGTTTTTGTTTGTGAAATATCAGCATATCTTAAAAGGTCTTTAGTTAGTAAATCCCAATGTGAAAAAGTTAAATACCTCGTGATTGCTAAGACTTTTTGGAATTTCAAATGAATATCTTGAGATTTTTTAATTAAAAGTCTTAAAAAGTCCAAGTTAAATAAATCAAGATTCTTAAAGTCTCAACAAATCAATAAGAATCTCAAGTGAATACACCCCATTAAGTTTTCATAGGTTTCCTCATAAATATGAAAATTCTAAAGTCTCAAGTATCAAAATGTCACTCAAAATCCCAAACGGAAGTATTCTTTTTGATGAAGGTCCATGAACTCGGACCACTTGATATCATTTGCAGGATTACGTACTCTTTTGGAATACAACTACAAAGTCAGTTTGTTTATTATAGACAACTGAAACTATTATCGCATTGATTTTGATTTCTATTAAATATCGTCTTTTTGCTAAAGTAATTACACTTAATATTTTGATTTATATGACAACTGAGTTTTTGATGTTTCTGCTAGAAAGAGCAACAAAAAACTGTTGAATTAGCAAAAAGAACAAAGGAAGTCTGAGTTGGAAGTCTACTTCTTAAAATATTCTCGGTTTTGCCAACTGTAGGGAGGTTACGTGAGGCCTAGTTGGGAGAATGCAGGCAGGAATTAATTGGGGGTTTTTGAACTGTAGGCATATCATAATTCAAATTATTCGAACTCTTAAAATTTGTTATGATTAGATAATGACCAAACAGTCAAACACTGCTTAGTCTCCTCACCTGATTGAAGCATATTCTAGCTGAGTTCTTAGGTTTTAACTTTGGTGAGAATGACCGAAATCCGATTGTTCATGCAGGAAATTATGATAAAATATTAGAAAGTGAAATACTTGGACCATGTATTATTTATCTCTACATGAGTTGTATGTTCTTTATTTGCCTGTACATATTTCAGCAGTTACAGTTTTCATTGAAGATGCTTCAGAAAAAGAAAGGATGTCTGCAACTAGCAAACCGTATGTGGCTGTTTGTAGCTTATAATTTGTTTGCGAATGCTTCTTGTATTTTTGTGACAGGGGACTGACAGGAGAACGGACAGTTAAGCGCTTGCGGCTGTCTAAAGCCTTGACAGTGCCTGATAGTACAAGTATCAGTGAAGCTTGTCGCCGGATGGCTGCCCGTAGACTTGATGCCCTATTGCTGACAGATTCAAATGCATTATTGTGTGGCATATTGACTGATAAGGTATAGGTGGTATAAACATACAAGATACACCATTTATCATTATTCTATTCAAAGTGATGAATTTTGCTGTCCTTTTTTTGGCTTCGTGTTATTGAAGGATATTGCTATAAGGGTGATTGCTCGTGAGGTTAATCTTGCAGAGACTCCTGTTTCTAAAGTCATGACAAGGAACCCAGTATTCGTGCTTTCTGACACCCTCGCGGTTGAAGCCCTGCAAAAGATGGTTCAAGGTGTTAAGCCTTCTTCCTGAACCTCGGGCATAAATAATTTTAAAGATGTAGTTCTGGAGTGCAGATTATTTCCCTTTTAAGGTGGCATTCTTTTTCCACAGGAAAGTTCAGACATTTACCAGTTGTTGAAAATGGAGAAGTGATTGCATTGCTTGATATAGCAAAATGTTTGTATGATGCCATTGCTCGCATGGAGAGAGCAGCGGAAAAGGGAAAGGCTATTGCTGCTGCTGTTGAAGGTGTTGAGAAGCACTGGGGGGCCACAGTTTCTGGTTGTTGAATGTTGTACTGTTTCTTTTATTTTATCTCCTCACTGAGTCTATACGTTATTGTGCGTCTCTTTCTGTATCATAATAGTCATGTATGTCTGAAGGATCAGCTACCTATCCAGGTTCATTGATTAATTTCTAATACGTTGAATGCAGGTCCTAACACATTCATTGAGACACTCCGGGAGCGAATGTTTAGACCTTCCTTGTCCACTTTAATCTCAGACAACTCAAAGTAGGTAATATCTTCACTTGTTAATTATGCTATACTGGATGTGAATTATGACAATGACTAGATGATAACGATGATTTCTAACGTAACCTCCAACCTCATTGATTTCTTAGGATTGTTACGGTTGAACCAAGTGACACCGTGCTAGTTGCTGCAAAAAAGATGCTTGAAACCCGATCAAGCTGTGCCATTATAACAGTAGATAAGAAACCACGAGGAATACTCACGTGAGCCTTCTGCCTTTGTTGTAAACGATGTTAACTTTGTGATGGGATAATATACTAATTATGAGATTTTTTGCGTTTTTATTTTCATCATAATCTACTTGTCCACCTCCTACGGTTCTCTAAGTTCGAAAGATATTTTGATGAGAGTCATAGCTCAAGATCTTCCTCCAGAGTCCACTCTGGTGGAAAAGGTAAATTTTCCAGTTATTTTTCCCTCTGCAGTTGTTCTCTTGCCATGCTGATAACATTAGTCAGTTCCATCAAGATTATTGTAATATGCAGATGATTTTGGATCATCATTCAAACTTAGATAGCTGTTTCTTCTTTCTACCAACTTGTTTTTCCAGGTGATGACACCAAACCCAGAATGTGCAACAGTTGATACACCTATTGTTGATGCTCTTCATACCATGCATGATGGCAAATTTTTACACCTCCCAGTTGTCGATAAAGGTAGATATATTCATAACAGTCTGTGCGGAGTTCTGTTGTATACTTTTATCTCATGGTTATTCAATTATAATCTTTTATGCCATGATTCAGATGGAATGGCTGTGGCTGTTGTTGATGTGCTTCATATAACTCAAGCAGCTGTTGCCACCGTAAGTAGTTTTCGACATTCCTAAACACAAGTTGGTAATGAGGGGATACAGTTTGTCCTGCATTATAACTAGAAAACAGCAAAATCGATCTAGAAACTTAGATAAATATTATACCTGCCGTAAGGTACTTCTGCCCTTGGGTACTTGTGATGTGTAGGACCCATATGCTATTGACTGGTGTTAAATTTGGTGTCTGCTGCAGAGGTGTAATCAATACTCAAGTGATGGGATGTTGATATTTTTTTTTTGGCTCTTACAATTAAGATTATGGAGGGCAGGTGAATGGTGGAAACTGTAATGATTTAACTGTTTAGTGTTGGTGGGTGGGGTATAACATAATTGAGGTTTTTGAATTGGTTATTTGTGCTGATTGTTCCGCTAAAACGTTCATATCATTCTCAGCGTCTATCACTGGACATGCTAGAATTTGCAAACAAGCAATCTTGTTGTGGACTTCCATAAAACTTGAGGTGGTATTGATAGGCATTTCTTAGTATCATGAAATTCGATCAAGATATGCTAGGCTTGATGTTTGGGTACTTTGGAAAAACATGGTTCCAATTTTTCATTTATACAGTACTCTGTATATGTGGGTTATTTTTCTTATATTGTCTCATTTACTTTTTTGGTAAATCCTATATGCTTGGTTTAGACTGTATTTCATCAAGCCATGGAAATACAAATGAACTTTATGCCGGACGAACTTTTTGTTTTGTGGGTCCAAAGGGACAAGATAGTTTTTGTGCATTTGCCTGTTCCTGAAAATAAGAAATTGAACATGTGAAATCTAGTTTAACTCTAATGTTTCATCTATGTTTTTGTTTGTTGGGTCATACTACAATGCTGGGTGACATCCAGGCTGATAAGATAGGACTTAGTAATTTACTTATAATGCTGTTGAATTATGGCCTTGGGTCGTTATGGAAACAGCCTCCTTGTATAATTACAAGGGTAAGGTCTGCGTACAACTGACCCCCCAGACCCCAACCTGTTGGGAATATACTGGGTATGTTGATGTTGATGTTGATGATGCTGTTGAATTATGGCCAAGATATTTGATTTGCAGAAAATGTTTTCTGATAGGTTCTTCTTTCCAGGTTGGTAGTACTGCTGGGGTCACTAGTGAGGCTGCAAACACTATGATGCAGAAGTTTTGGGATTCTGCCATGGAGTTAACTCCAGATGATGATGAGGAGACCAGGAGGTTGTGACTTTACTAACGATATATTATTCTTGATTCTTTTCTATATTTTTATTTATTCATAAGATTGTCTCAGTGAGAACTCCTTGAAGATACCTTCCGATGGCGGAGAAACTGGACGATCTATTCCTTATCCTTCTTCCTCCTCATCCAGTATGTTCGCATTCAAGATTGAAGATAGAAAAGGAAGGATGCATAGGTTTTTATGTGGTGTGTTCTCAATCTTCGTCCTTTTCGTTATGAACAAAACAATTTTGGAGTGCTAATTGAAGTTTATTTACTCGTTGTAATTTCCATTTCACTTAGAGAGGCAATATTTCATGGTTCTAATATCTGGACGAATATAGCATTATACACACTCACAAGCACATTTATAATATCTTGATATGTAATGGAAATGTCTCCGATGCTACTCAATCATTTCAGATGTGATTTTGTTTCTTCTTTTAATTACGTCTTATTTTTTGGATGAGGAAATTGCAAATACCTTTATCATCTCAGGTTATGAGCCATACAAGTGTTTTTTTCAGCTTTTGTCTTCTGTTGCTATTTCCTGTTCAGGTACCCAGAATTTGGCAGACCTTATAACAGCAATACTCCAAAGAGTTGGGGATGAAATTGACCGCAACAATCTTCCACAAATTCTGGTAGACTCTGCTCTTCTGGACAGTTCCCTCTAATTAAATTTCTACATTTGCAGTCTTATTCTTGTGAATTGCCGTCATCATGCAGTATGAAGATGAAGACAAGGATAAAGTTATGCTTGCATCAGATAGTGACCTTCAAGCAGCTGTAGACCATGCAAGGCTAGCTGGCTGGAAGGTAACGATATTTATACATGTGAAGAACAACAAAGCCTACCTGTACTCCTTGCTTAACCGCAAAAAGATTCAGTTATATTATGAGTTCAAGTATCCGCTTATATTTTTTCGTTTTCCTTTTACAAATTATTGTGAGGGGATATATGAAAAATTGAAACATAACCATAAAGCTAAAAACCGGGGTAGTTTTTGCAATTATCCTGGTTTATAATATCGAGCCAGAGTTGAGGTTTTATGAAGAGAACACATCCAAATAATGTGTTCTAAATGAATTGAAATATAAGAAAAAAGAAACAAAACATAACAAGCTAACAGTCCCCACTCCAAGAGTGCTGATTCCTCAGGAAGTTATCTTCCTGCACAAGAAGATAACTTGTAATGATACTTATATGCCCTAAGACCTAATAGACTTAATCCTACTGCATAAATAAAAACAAAAAAGAAATGATCAGCCACCAGTTTATTCTAGTCCTAAATAGGTAACATAAATTACTTAATTAATGAAGAAAATCCAAGATAATTGTTGACCACCTGATATTGTTGAAAGAATTATTTGTGCCTGTTCGTAAACAAAATTGAAGCTAATGAAGGGAATAAATTTGAACAGGGCTTGAGACTGCATTTAGACTATTCTGGGACACCTAGTCGGCGAAAGGGATCCAACTCGAGCAGTAGTCTGGAATATGCTCAAGCAGATGCATGGGCTTCTGCATATAGTGCTGTGGCAGCTGGGGCTGCACTTGTTGCCGGTTTAGGCGTTTTAGCATTCTTGAGACGGACCGGAAACTGATCGTATTTGATTCCAGACATGCTTTGCTTTGCAAGGTTTTGAAGCTTGGAGACTAACAAGGTTAGCCCGTGCT